TGTCACAGAGTCGTATGGCTTCTGCGGACTTCAGAAAACGACAGGTGAGAAGACAATTTCTTCGCTTAAAGTAACGTAGTTGTTATTAGCGTAGCAGACAGTTTATGTTTAATCTCGAGTGATCTCAGCGCCTTTTATTATCCTACCTCATACCCTTCTACTCTCTTAAACCAGCTTCCTCTCGCCGACGGATTACCCGTTATGGATTTAGAATTCAGACAAGAAGTCAAAAAGGTAAGCAAAGGGTCCAAAGTTTATTTCAAAATATGAAGGGTAGACGAAAGTGCAAGCTATTTTTCGGCTCGACGTAAGCCAATTCAGTTCTTTACTGCAATCGACTGAATGGTTCATAATTCTCCACTAGCGACTGACAACATTATACGGCAAGCTCAGTCCCCGTGTCACCTATTATTTGATTCGGTGTGCTAACTGATTTATTAAAAGTTTAAAAGGCCAAATTTGAATGCTGAACCCCTCTAGGCTGACTAGAAGTGTAGCAACGTTCACTTTATTAGTAATTTGTGCTGATGGTAACGGTAATGACCCTACCACTTACAAAGTCCGGTTGGACGTACACCACTTGTCTCATTCAATTGCCTCATCACGGCTCACTTCCTTTCGACTTACGCCTACATCCAGCACACGTTCGTGGGGGAGCCGAAGATAAGTGGACACCTCCACACTCACCTTTATGGTGCCGAAGGATGTACATAGATCCAAACTCCCATGTTTAATGAAATGTTGACCTCCCTTGATCGTGGCAGACATTATGCTTTGTGTCTGTTTGCGTGCGCTCCAAAATTTCAATTAACTCAATCCGTCACTTTAGAGGGTGCTGGCTCATTCCCAATTTGTTAACTCGCAATACGATTTCAAGTGATTTTTCTTCGCGCATCACCGGCGGGCAGTGGATCAAATTTGCTCCACCAGATCCCTTCTCTATCGACGAAGATCAACTATCCAGGATCCTAGTACAGTCTGCATGTATTAACTAGGTGCGTTCAGCCATTTTTCAAGCCGACCGGTTTATCACTTCTAGTTAGGCGATTGCGTTGGGTTTTTGGCGGCACCTTTGAAGTCATGTGGAGGTGGGACAATGAACATCGTGCTCAAACAATATACTCTGTTGATCTGATAGGTCCTTACCATGCCATAGTAATAACAGTTTCTTTCTTCCAGCGAAGCTAGTAAGCTTTACCCA